GTATTTTTCTTTCCGCTCAAGTCTCAACTCTCAAATCAAGTCTACGAACTTCTAAGAATTTCTTTTCGATCCTTTTGTTCATCCCGCGCCATACTCCAATACTCCACAACACGCTTCGATGGCGGTGCTCCGACGGCTACTGACGGCGGCTCGGTCATGGGGTCCGATGATCACCTCTCCTAAAACCCTAGCTCCCTCAAGAACTCCCGTCGGCGACGTTCCTCTTAGTATGTCTCCTCTCCCTCTGTAATTCAGTCATCAAAACTCAATTTGAAATCTGGAATGTATTCTTTCATTTTGATTCCTTATGAACGAATCAAAAACTGCTTCGTTTATTTTTGTTTAGAAATTAAAATTATAACTTTTAGTTTGCAAATTTGAGATTTTCGTTTTTGATGTTCCGTTAAATTAAATTGCAATTTTTTTTTTTTTTGGAAAGATGAGAAATTTTTATTGTGCAGTTTGATGCATAAATTGGAGTACTATTAACACAGATTTGACATATGCAGGTCCTCATCTATGGCGCCGTGTTTCTTCCATTGTGCCTGAAATCCAGCAGCCAAAGTTGGTGGATTCTTCTTCTGGATCGTATTCTGTACTTCCAGCTATTTTAGTTAGTTTGTTCGGAGCTGGAGCGCTACAAATAGCTTATGCAGATGGTGATGAGGTTCGTGTAATTGTTATTTCCATTAATGGTAGCATTTTTTTATGCAATTTGAATGTTTGCCTGCATTTCCATCATCCCTTTTGTTATTTGCTTGCTTTCCTCATTAATTTGTTTTGCAACCAATTGTAGTGATTCCATTGCTTCCCTCCTCTCCATACTCCCCAATCAAACAAAGTAGAGTATTCTCGAGTTTTTGAATTTTTTTCATAATTCCTGTTTTCCCCAAAATTAAGTGATTTAAATTACATGTTCTTTGAACCAGCATTAATTGTACCAAACTCTTTCTTCCATATCCCTTTTGCAGAAAATGGTGATGGGTAGTGAAATGTAGATTATAGATTTGACACTAAAGCAATTGTTGGTGAATTGATTTACTTTGAACTTAGCTTTCAGCAGGTTGCTTCAAAGCCCTCCCTGCCACCTCCAGTAGAAACCCCTTCAGGATATGTGGATCTGGAGGAAACTGCAAAGAAAGAGCGACAAAAGATTGAAGAATTAATAAAAACGAAAGGAATGCACAATGGATCTTACCCCCGGTTCACTGTTGCTGTCAAGGGCCAAAAGGTTGTTTTCACTTTTTTCTGTTTTTGTCTTTTTACACAATTTATTTATAATATAGCTTGTTGCATTCTCCTTGTTAATGTGGCATACATTTAAATTTTATCAACAGCTGAATAAATCTTGTAAATGGAAGATAATATCCAAGGGAAAAACTATTGAACTAATATAAAAAGAAAAAGGCCAATGTAACCTAAGTTTTGGTTTTGTGGAAAACCTTCAAACTGTGGTTGCTGCAGTATATTTCTGTGATATTGATATAAACTAGTAATTATTGTAGAAGTAGGATGTGCCAATGTGGTGTGATCTATTTTCATCTATAAAATGAACCTAGAATAACTATAGTAGAAGTTATGCTTTCTTTGGTAATAATAATGGATTTCTTGGGGCTATTTGCTGTACCATAGGTCACCATCAAATTCCAAGTTCCTCCCCCTTGTGAAGTTTCAGAACTGATTGCAAACCTTGTTTCACAACTTGGAGTAAAGGTTGATGAGCGTGGTGGTGGTTCAGATATGTTATTGCGTGCGTGGGACAGGTTGTTAAGGATAACTATGTTACACAAAAATGTTGCACTAATCTTGGCAGTTGCTTTCAATTTACTAACTGCTTCTCTCTTAAATTGTTTCAGTTCAGTTGCTTGGCAGCTAACACTTAGTCCTCTAGAGAATCAAAAGCAACCAGAAGGTCATCAGGGTCATTCGGTAGAAAACGAGAGGGACAAAGGAGAGCTATGCATCCTAATTTTTCGTTCACTTATCAGCTCTGATAAAGCTGTCAGTCTTATTGCCCTACAGTCTTTGATGCTATTATAGTTAACAGTATGACAATGTGCATTTGCCTTTTATGTCTAGCAAGTAACTGATTAGTAATTTGTGCAACTTATTACAGGAAATTGAGTTTATAAAGCGTGGTAGCTTTAGTCCCAGAGAGCTTGATGCATTTGTATCTGTTTTACAACTAGCTGGTGGAAAGTTGGGACAGAATAAGACCTTGGAAAGAAGAACAAGGGAAGGTACTTCAAGGATGCCATCTCCAGAAAAATCCATTGCTAGTCTGGAGGCAATGGGTGTGAGAATATATGGACTTAATGCACCCCAGATGAATTTTTCACATGACGAGATATCATGGGACAATATTGCCGGATATGATCAGCAAAAACGGTGTGTGAGGCATTATCAAATCTCTTGTTGATACATAGAGTTTACTGTGGGTATGATTTGATCAAATTCCAATGCATTTTTAATGAGCTAGTAAAGTGTATTTGGGTTTTTCATGGTTGAGATTGTCATCTTTCCAGCAAAATCTACATTTATCAAGGATTGTGATTGATACCCTTGTAATTTTATAATTCCAGTTAACATCACAAACTCTGCATGTGGAAAAGCTTTTTAATATTTTAATTGTGAAGTTGTCATATATTGATATTTGGTTTGATTGGAATCCACATTGTACTGAAGAGATTATTATGTCATCCATAATTTGTTGATCAGTTACAAGCTTGTGTTGATCCTTGACCTTATTCTGGGACTTGAATTTGTAACTGCCCACCATTATATATTTTGGAACTTAGTTGATTGGTGGAGCGGTTTCCTTATTGTCTATTTCAATACAAGAGGTTGCCTATATTGTTTGGAGGGGAATCAAAATTTTGTATTTGTGTATCTAGTACATTCCTAAATATTTCTGACTTTCAAATGTTACATGTGAATTAGAATCCAGCATCCATGCTTTTAAATATTAAGTGCTTATGTATGCTTAGACACACCATGCAGAGAAGTAGAAGATACAATTTTGTTGGCTCTACGAAGTCCTGAAATATATGATAATATTGCTCGTGGAACTCGTCGCAAGTTTGAGTCAAATCGACCTAGAGCCATTCTCTTTGAAGGACCACCAGGTTTACATTTCAACTTTAAAAAGCTCTGTTTATTTCTAACAATTCATTTACTGGGTAATGATCCTTATTTTGATGTTTGGCATCAGGTACAGGGAAGACATCCTCTGCTCGTGTTATTGCTACTCAAGCGGTAAGCAAACATGAGTTCATTCAATTTTTGATAGCTTTTATTTCATATTGCATAATTTAAAGTTTTTTCCTTCTCTCTTGAACTCATTCCTGTGTGCAAGAGCAGCATATTTAATGTGATACAGTTTCATGTAAAATTGTAAATAGAAATTTTGATGTGCTTGTATGCTTATTGATTCCTTATTGATGTTGAGCATTCTGATTCCTTATTTATGTACTTACTGTTCTGAAAGTACTCAATGTCAGTGCCCTTTATTCCTCTCCTCTCTCTTTTTCATTTTGTTTTATTGTGCAGATATCTTTTATATTTGATGCATTTGATAAATGCCTTAACATCTTTTTCTAATGAATTATTATCTTATAGAATTCAAGTAACCTTTATGTTTGATGTTTTTTCAAACTGAAATGTAAAAATGGAAACAACTTTTAAAATTCAATTTCTTCTTGGGACCTCTACCTGCATGATGTTGGTCCCTGGGTTCATTCTCAAAAGACATTGCATCTGGGAACAATAATTAACTCCAAATATGAAAGATGGTGTGCCTTTTAGTCAAAGTTGATGATATCTTTAGGTTTTCAAACTAAATAAAATTTTTGGTGTAAATCTAAATGATGAGCTATACAAAAGGGGTTCCTAAATCTTTCTCCATTTGTCTCAAGGTTTGAACTTGAGATCTGTAACATGGAGGATCACCCTCTTAACTGTTGGGACACACCCTAGGGGACTTCAAACGCAAGAGTAATGCTTCAGAGTTTATAAATTGAATTGCATTTCAAGCTACAACCAATCTTGGAAATGTGTTTTTCTATTTACAAATTGCTGAAAAATGAGAACTTGCATGCCTTTCTCAGGGTGTCCCATTGCTATATGTTCCACTGGAGGTTGTCATGTCAAAGTATTATGGTGAAAGTGAACGTTTGTTGGGACAAGTGTTCTCTCTTGCCAATGAGCTCCCAAATGGTGCTATAATATTCTTAGATGAGGTAACTGCTGCAAGTAGTTCTTACTTGATGATTCTGTATTGGCAAGCCATCTTTTTCTATTTTTGAGTCAAACTTTATATAGGGCTAGGTTTACATTACGTTACAAGAGAGTGCCTTCTGTACTTTGCAGGTTGATTCTTTTGCTGCTGCTCGTGATGCTGAAATGCATGAAGCTACACGTCGGATTTTGTCTGTGTTATTGCGGCAGGTGAGTGAAGGTTTTCCTTTGTCAGCAGGCATTTTAATATGTACAGTGAGCATTAACATTGATTGTTTTGGCCTTAAGAAGAGTCTGATCCTCACCTGTCTCTTTTATGTTCATAGTAGTAGTGCGTCTCTCTTCCAGACCCTTGTACAGAATGAATCTGCTAGCTGTACCCAAAAACTGAGAATGATGATGAAAATTATGCTTTCATGCAGATTGATGGATTTGAACAGGATAAGAAAGTTGTCGTCATTGCTGCAACAAATCGAAAACAAGACCTTGATCCTGCCTTAATTAGGTAATACAGATGTGCACATTCTGATGCAGAGCATAATTATGACACAAGTCAAAATGAAGTATTTCTAACTCAGAACTTTTTTGTTCTCAGTCGGTTTGATTCAATGATCACTTTTGGCCTTCCTGATGAACAAAACCGTCAGGAAATAGCAGCTCAATATGCAAAGCACCTTACCAAACCTGAATTAATTGAATTTGCTCAAGCTACTGAAGAGTAAGTTTCACATTGTTGCTTCTCTTGATTTAGTTGTATGAAATATTCAGGAAATGGTTTAGCATGCATAATACTTTTCCTTTTTCACTCTGTTTCTTTGGCTATTGGTACATACAGCATGTCTGGGAGGGACATAAGGGATGTGTGCCAACAAGCAGAGAGGTCATGGGCATCAAAGGTAGTTACTGGCCTTAATGGCAAATTATCTATCGCTCAATGTTCAAATCCAATCCATAGTATTAATTTCTTTTTTCATTGACTTTGATAGATAATTCGGGGACAAGTAAGTAAAGATGGAGAACAATGGAGTCTCCCACCACTGCAAGAATACATCTACAGTGCCATGAATCGGCGGAAATCTCTTCTTGATGCTGTGAGCCAGAAAAACCAAAATCCTAACCCCAAGACCAAGAAGCAGCAGCTAGATTTTTGCTGATTAAGGTTGATAGAGCTCTCGTCGATCAAGTATGACCACTCATGTCCAATCTTTTGGTATTTTTTGTAATTAATGTTACATTTATATATAGAGTAGAGTTATTTTATTAAGGAAATATGAAAAAAAAAAAAAAATCAGAGTTTGATTTTATTGTTTTATCAGCAATCACAGCAACAGCATTAGATGAAAGCATGCCAACCGCTTACGGAGGGTGGGTAATACTGATTTATCAATGTGTGTTTCCTATTGGGTTAATGGCACTATAGGTAGCTTAGCTTTTTAAAGCGTTCAAATTAACACTTGAATTTATTTTTTGCCCGTTATGGTCCTTGTGTTTAGTGTCTTAATGTTGCATTGAAGGATTGAAGCAAGCCAGGGAGATGCAGTTGTATGTGGTGGACTAGTAGTTGATAACCGTTTGGTTTAGCTGAATTATTTATATTTTATTTGAATATATATATATATATATATATGAAAAAAAATTAAGAAATTTTGATATTTAAAATATTTTTAATTATAAATATTAAATATATGAGATATAATATAAGTTGTAATTTTATTAAATGCATTTTATAATAATTATTAAAATTTTTAATATTTTTAATATTGTAACGTAATAATTTTTTTCTTATATATATATTTAAAAAATATTGAATCATATATTTATAAAAAAAATAATTACAAATAAATTCAGAATTGATTGCTAAGGTACGTGGTGGTCCTATCTCGGTGTAGTTAGGAATCGGCCTTGGTAGCGTGTCACCAACTCCAATTTTAATACGTTACTTTGTTTTTTAATTTAAAATTTTTATTTTCTAATTTAAATTATATCATTTTATAAAATAAAATTATTAAACATATAAAAAAAACCTCTAACATCAAATGTTCACCTTTTGTCAAATAACTTTTATCATACAATTTAAAAAAATTATTAAACATATAAAAAAAACCTCTAACATCAAATGTTCACCTTTTGTCAAATAACTTTTATCATACAATTTAAATTATATAATAATTTTTTCCTTTAATTTTCAAAAGAGAGGTATTCAATTAACCTGACGAATGGTTGTCCTCATCTGACGCTATCTAATAGTTGACAATGAGTTTTAGAAGTTTAAAAAGAGAAAAAAATCTGCTCTGAAGCTAGAGCTTTTAAAGAGTTGGATTATATTTAATGTAGTTGTGATTTTTTTAAATTTATAACTTTAAACAAAAATTGTTATTAGAAAAATAGAAAAACAAACTAGTTTA